CCCGGGCGGGAGCCGGGCTGAGCCCTGCTCTGCCGGACCTGCCCCGCAAAAGCCCCTGGGCGCGCCGTGGCCCTGGGGAGGTCTGCGCCTCTGGACCGACCCGCGAGTGGGTCCGGGCGCATTTGGGGGAGCAAGTTTCTCCCGGTGGCGTGAAACGTCCTTCACACTCGTGGGGCGGGGGAAGTTTGCATTGAACAGACCCGTGCAGATCGCGCTCTCCGGGCGCACCGTGACTTTCCCCTCGCTTTGTATTTCGCTTCCCAGCGCCATGCGGCTTGTCATCAGGGGAGCTGCTGGGAACAACGTGTTCTAGAGAGGCGCCTGCTGAAGAATGTGGATTTTGCACGGGGGGGAGTTGCAGCTGGTGTCACCCTTCTCCAGAGTTTGCATGAGTTTGAGAGCTTTCCAATTGTCCCATCATGTAGCCCTGGGGGAAATTCTGCAGTTGGTGCGTTTGGAGCCTTAGTAAAATTGTAGAATTTCTCCAGGACTGATTCTTGCTCTTCTGGACCTGTGATAGTATCCAAATGTGGAATTTCCCGTTGATTTAAAAAGTAAGCCTTATGTACTAGGTAATGCCAGTAAAAGGTAAAGTGTTGCTAACAGTTTAATTACAGCAGTATGGCTTTATAGAGAATAGTGCTTCTCAGTGTGATTCAGGAAGCTGGTTTTTTTTAAAAGCTTCCAACCAGAATAGAATGTGATCTTCTATTCTAGTCCTTTTGACTCTGAAGATAACTTAATGGATGCAAATAGTTTTACTTTTGGCTATTTATTTAATACCAGGGAATGTGTGACTAATTAAATGTCTGATCATGTACACATATTTTCAAATGTGGAATTATGAAATGTACATGCAGAGGCTTAAATAGTACAGGCCCAATGAGGTAAAAAAATTAACTAATTATTATTGTTTGCAGATTTTCTTTTTACCTAACACACTGCAAAGGATATTGGGATAGAGAGTCACAAGAACAAAGAGGAATGGTTTGTGGGTCACAGGTGAAAAAAGATAGAGATGCCCCGATGAGTGTATTTCTTAGGGCAATTACATACCAAATTATTATTGGAGTTTAATTTAATTACATTGACAATGAAAACTAGACAGGAAGCAATTTCTGGAGTCTTTGATGTGGATTTAAGCAAACTTCATTGTTACTGCCCCCTCTAATTATTTTTATGGTGGTGATAATTTATCTTCAAACGTCATATGACAATATAGTTCATGTGTGACCACTTCAGCAATTTTTGTCATGGTATTAAACATATTTCCCGTGATAATCCTTTTGTCAACTTTCTGATCCCATTACTGGTGTGAAAGGGAAATTCTGACACCCTCACCTCCAAACAGACATTCTAAGTTCTAAAACAGGTAACTCCTGCATTATAAATCCAAAGCAATTTGAAACATCTCAAGGGAAAGTAAAAAAGAATATATTATTTAAAAAAAAATCTAGGCTACAGTAATATGTTATGGTGAATTATGGAGCTCTGGCATTCGCCCTATAGTTCATGTTGCACTTAAGTGTCCATTCATATCCTATTTTGCCCCCTTCTGGAATCCACCAAAAAGTAATGTTTGACTTACTTCCAGACCTAAGTTTACCAATTTTAAGGTAGGCTTTTCTAAAAACAAGAGACGCAGATCAGACAAGTGGTCCCTGAGCTATAATATCCTAATTTTTGTTGCCACTGGACCGCAGTTAAATAGAACATAGTTAATTTGTAAAAGTCTCAGAGGGGTAGCTGTGTTAGTCTGACACTTTAAAAAAAAAAAAAAAAAAAAGTAGTCCTGTAGCACCTTAGAGACACTAAAAAAAATTGTGTGTGTATATAAATCATGAGCTTTTGTGGGCAAAAGCCACTTCCTCAGATGAGTGGAGAAAAAGATGCACCAAACTTTAGTTGATCAAAGTGAACTTTTAAATTTGGACCATGGCTAAACATTGTTGAGTCTTGTGAGCTTAGTGTAATGCACCAAATCTGCATCCTTCTCAGCTACCCCATGGATTTCCTGGGGTTAGCTAAACTGTGCCTGCTTTCTGGGACTCCAGTCCCAAGGATTTCCCTAGGGGGCTAGGTTCAGGGGTCTGTTGTGAGACTTGGGGGGTTAAAATTTAAATGTAAATAGAATTTAAAGTTGGCAGTAAAGAAAGGAGAATGACTGAAAATAGAGAAGCCATTCTTGGGGGATTTCCTCTTTCCATTACCGGAGAGGAAAGAGGGGCAGGATTCCTGTCTGTAAGTAATCCAGGAGCAGAGAGTGGTTAATCTGTGTGTGGTCAATTTCAAGCTTGCAGACAATAGGCTATTTCAGTTAACTGGCACTATTCTTTGTAACTATAGGTAAAACAGACCAGAGCTTTCTCTCTCTCAAATTGGATCCAAGAGCAGATTAACAGCATCTCTGTCAGGAAATGGTTTCTGTTACTTTTCCATATAATCCTGATTTAGGGTGTAATTGCTGTTAAATTTCAGGGTGGGGAGAGGATGATAGTTGCCAGGGCATTAGGTTACAGAACTTGCTTCTAGGGATGTAAAAGGTTAACCCCCTGCTTCAGCCCCACAGCAGGCCTCCTGCGGATAGGGGCTGCTCTCCTCCAGAACAGCCTCTGTCCCCAGGAAGTCAGACCTGCCATGGACAAAGGGCTGATCTGGCAGGGGCTTGGAGCTGGCAAGGGGACTGGGAGCTAGCAGCTAGCTCCATCCAGTGTGGGGCTGGGAACAGAAACCCGGGAACCTGGGGCCATTCCAGAGAGGCTGGAGTGGTCCCCCACCCAGGATCCCGCTTAGTCTGTTAAACATTGGGTTAACCTAACGTTTAACCGGTTAACTCATTAACTGGGATTTTACATCCTTCTTTGTTTCCCCAGCCCTGGTTTTTCTAGGAGTAATTTTATTTTGTAAAGGGGATTCATAGAATCATAGAGCTGGAAGAGCGCTCAGCAAGTCATCAAGTCCAGCCCTCTGCCCAAAGCAGGACCAATCCCAACTAAATCAACCCAACCAGGGCTTTGTCAAGCCGAGACTTAAAAACCTCCAGGGATGGAGATTCCACCCCCTCCCTGGGGAACCCATCCCAGTGCTTCACCACCCTCCTAGGGAAATAGTTTTTCCTAATATCCAACCTAGACCTCTCCCACTGTAACTTGAGATTCCTCATCCCCGATCCCATTTTCACAACCATGAATACATAGTGACCAGACTAACCCTCTGTATCAGCTGCCCCTTACCCTTGATCCGGAGCCAGTGCGAGCCTGTTTGTATGTGCTCATTAAACAATGAATTAATTCTCGAAGGGGTGCCGCTTGTTTGCTCTGCCCTCCATCCTCGTGGTAGAGTTGTGCATAGAAGTTGAGGTGTTTTAGCTGCTTGTGTGGGCTTTACCTAAGCAACGAAAGAAGCCTTATAAACAGTGAGCCTTTGTAGTGAAAGCCGAGTAAGTGTAATTATAAACTTTCCCCTCCCCCACTTAATAAAAATCTTCCAGTTCTCACAGATAACATGTTCTGCCTTTCCAGGGGGCTCGGCCGCAGGACAGCACGTGTCTTTCGGACGAGCTCGAGAGGCTGCACGCAAGATGAACCGCGGAGCTCAGCATACAGGATGCAAAGGGCCATCTGTGTGAACCAGGAGGGCCTGAAGATGTCTGTGTGCAGTCACTTTGTGGAGCACGTTTGGAAACCTGGCTCCTGCAAGAACTGTTTCTGCCCCAAGCGTTCACACCGGCTGCAGGCGTCCCTGGAACCGGAAGCGAGTAACTTGCCCTCACGCAACCTAAATGGAATTAGAACCAAAGCGGAGGCTGCACCTCCGGAGGATGAGTCTGGAGTTGCCTCGCCTTACTCGAAGCCAACGATTGCCGTGAAGCCAACAAGAATCAACCCAGATGTGTCTGACGCATGGGCGGATGTGAATATGAATGCAGATATCTCGCAGGTAATGATTAATAAGGGGTGTGGTGGTTTACAGTGCTGCACCCGTTATAATATTTGCTTTTGGTGGGGAGCAAAAAAGATATTTGCTCCGACAAGGCTAGTGTGTGTCTACTTCCATTGCTCTTTATTTTGGGGGTCTGTGGGGTTTTTTTAAGCCAATATATTTTCTGCCTCCTATGTTTTCCATTTGATTTTTGAACATTTGACACCAGATTTGTGTTTCTGATGCAAAATGCTTGGCTTCTCGAGACACCACTCGCTAAATCTTGTGGGACTTCGAATAGTCCTGTAAAAGCTGATACTTTGAAATAGTGTTACTTGGGCTCTTGTTATATTTTTAATTTTTAATTGTGGAGAAAGTTCAGAGAAAAGCAACAGAAATCATGAAAGATCTAGAAAACATGACTTATGAGGGAAGACTTCAGGAATTAGGTTTGGTTAGTCTGGAAATGCAAAGACTGAAAGAGGATGTACTAGTTTTCAAGTACCTAAAAGATTGTTACAGAGGAAAAAGTTGTTCTGCTTCTTGTCCTATAATCAGACATTAAGAAACAGGCTTAAATTGCAACAAAGGAGGTGGTTTAGGTTGGACATTAGGAAAAAGTTCCTAACTGTCAGGGTGGTTAAACACAGGAATAAATTGCCCAGGGAGGTTGTGGAATCTCCATCATTGGAGACATTTAAGGGCAGGTTAGACAGACACCTGTCAGGGGTGGTCTAGATGGTGCTTGGTCCTGCCATGAGGGAGGGGACTGACTGGATTTGATGACCTCTCAAGGTTCTTTCCAGTTTTATCATTCACCCAGATTGTCAACGCCTCCCCCCTACCGCCCACCGCCCCATCAGCTGTTAATGGCTCACAGTCAGGGCGGATAACCGAGCAGCCTCGATGTGAGTGTGATGCTGTTCCATTGTCAATCTCCTGAGTCGTTCAGTCCCCCTTATCTTCCTCAGTAGGGTGGATGAAGGGCGGATGGTGTATTAAGCAATGGTCACATCCGGAGATGGGACTGAGCAGCCAAGCTGTGTTTCTCCCAAGATCTGTGGGCGTCCGGCTCTGGAGTTCTGGTTCTGAGCCCTTCTGGCTCTGCCAGATAAATACTTGGTAAGGACCATGAATACCGTGTGCGGGTTACGGTATCTTTGCCTGATCTCACTTCTCTGCTATCCCTGAATTCCCTGCCTTAGCAAGCTGATGACTGGTTGTGTAGCCCCACTGAGCCGAGGAGGGGTGTCTGCCCTACAGCGGCCCGGCAAGTTCTTCCTCCAGTGGCTGATCATTGCAGCGTTGTGGCATTTATCCTGCACCAGCCAGCCCTTGCTTTGAAAAAAAAGCCTGCTCCCACCCAGCCAGACAGCCAGCTGTACCCTTCCCCCATCTATTTCTGGATTAGGGATGCGGGTAATTGGCTAATCGAGTCGTCGATGGAATTTCCATCGATTAGTCGATAAGGAGGGAGACTGCAGAGCTGCAGAAGGGCTAAGCTCCCAGCCCCGGGAGCTAACCCCACTGTGGCTCTGCCTTTTAAATGTATTAAGAGCTGTCACGCTCTTAATACTTTCAAAAGGCACATGCATGGCGGTGGGGGGGAGGGGGCATGCAGGCAGGGTCGGGCGTGAGCCGGGAATCATCCTGGCGTCTATTAATACATTTAAAAAGCAGATGAGTGGGTGGAGGGACGAGGAGCGAGACAGGACAGCTCATTCCCAGCTCGCTCCCGGTCCCCCCACCCCGCTGCGCCTCTACTTTTAAAATGTATTATGAGCCAGGCAGCTCTTAATGCATTTAAAAAGCAGCCGCACAGCCGGGGGGGAGTGGGAGAGAGCGGGACTGCTCCTGCCCCGCCCCTCCTCTTCCTCCAACATCTGGGATTGGATGTGGGCCAGGAATCAGCTGATTCCCAGCTCACGCCGGTCCCCCGCTACCCACGCCTTTGCCTCTTTTGCCCTCCCAGAGATGGTGTTGGGGGGAACTGGCTTGTAAGCCGGCTCCTGCCCCCCCCCCCTTGCTGCGCCTCTCTGATAGAAGCAGCGGGGGAGAAGCGACCAGTCGGGTCACTACCCAGCTATCTGATAAGCATTTGCTCATCGGGTAGTCGCCTACATCCCCATTCCACATACAGCCACACAGAGGCGACTGGAGAAGGGGAGCCCCGGGGAGCGTGCCAGGAGACCCACGCAGCTGGGACCACCTTGCCATGCTTCCCCTGCTGGTGAGTGTGAGCAGCCCAGCCCCCTGCTGCGGCTGCCAGGCATCGTCCCCTCCCGCCCATGCTGTTGGAGGGCCAGGGGCCCAGTTCGCTGGGCACGTGCGTGGCCGCTCAGGAGAGATTTCAGTGCCGCCCCGCTGATGAGCTCCACCCCGCCACGAGACTTGTGCTTCCGCCTGTCTGGGTGCCCACAAGTTATTCCGCCCGCGGATGGAAGAGAGTAGAGGGGACGTGGCCCCACGCGCCGCCTCTGAGTGTCAGTGGCTACTAGCGAGCCGCTTGAGAGTGGAGCGGAATAGAAATGCTCGGCTGTATTTTATTAGGATTTCAGACCCTGCCTTGCGGCTGCGTAGAGCCGAGTTCTCACCCCGGTGTGGTCGCCTCAATGCCATTCAGCTGCTTTCAAGCCAGTGCAGTTACAGTGGTGTTCCTCCTGCTGGTGATAGCAGAATCTGGCCGACGGGGAAGTTTCTCTCCCCTCTAACTAGATTCTGCCATCTCCGATCCCTAGGGAAGTAGCTGGTGAGCAGTGAGTGGGCCTACGTTGCACTCTGCAGTCCATGGGAATCTCGCTTCTTATCCCTTATAAGAAAAATGGTCACTGGCCCATGGCGGAGAGAGGTGGTAAGGAAGGATCCGGGATTCCTGGTCTTGCTAAGGCTGCTCTCCAGTAGGGGTAAAGATACGGCCCTTCAGAGCAAGGGGGTCATGCCCCCAGCTGCGTACAGTAGAACCTCTGTTTCGAACACCTCCGGAACGGGGGCTGTTCCGGGCTCTGAACCGTTCCTCACGCTGGACAAAGTGGACTGGTGGCTTCTTTCAAAAGCTGATGGCTGAACCTGGACTTGACTCATAGCTTTGAAACTTCACTGCGCAGAAGAAGAATGCCACTTTTTAGCCATCTTAAAGGAAAGACGCATAGAAACGGGGTCTCCACTTTGTCAAATCTTCTTTGAAAACGTCTAGTTTAATGTTTTTGTTTGGCAGTTTGCATTTAACACCATAGTGTACGGTAACTGCTCTGTGTTGTCTCTGCCACGGTCTGATGTCACACTTCGGGCTCCCGATGCAGTGTGTGGTAGGGATGTAAAGGACTAGTTGACTATCCCATACGCAAATGCCTGGGGTCTGTGCGGCATTTAAAAGCAGCAGCGCCGTGGGGAGCCCGGGATCAGTGGGGGGTCTCCTAAGGTGACCCTGAGCTCTGTACGGCGCTTCTGCTTTGAAACGCACAAGAGCCCTCGCTGTGGCTCTTGTACGTTTCAAAGGCAGGACACGGAAGTGCCTATCCACTAGTTGAGTTGTCGTGGAAATTCCATCGACTACTCGACTAGCAAATGAATCGCTTCTTAACATCCCTAGTGTGTGGTTGACTGCTCGGCTCCTAGCTCTGAGGTTCTACTATAGCTACTAGAAGGGCTTCTTGCCAGATAGGCCCTTGCCAGTTACACTGTAAATTCCCCGTGTAATGAAGTGTGTTTTCCTGGGGGAACCCCTTCCTTCTAGAAGCTGTACAGCCCCCAAGCTGTCCATCAATGGCTATTAGCCAGGATGGGTAGGAATGGTGTCTCTAGCCTCTGTTTGTCAGAGGGTGGAGATGGATGGCAGGAGAGAGGTCGCTTGATCAGTACCTGTTCAGTTCACTCTCTCTGGGACACCTGGCATCGTCCACGGTCGGCAGACAGGATACTGGGCTGGCTGGACCTTTGGTCTGACCCAATATGGCCGTTCTTATGGTTTATAAATGGGAAAGGGGAAATAACGCCGCATGGAAGAACTACTCTTTGTAATCTGAGAACATTCAATTATGTGCTGATGACTCTACGTCGAATACACCCGTACCGTACGGCAGGTTGAAGCTGTTACTGCCTCTCCTGGGTAAGAGCTGGACTACGAAGGAAAAGGGATACCACCTTCGTTACAGTGACACAATGAATAACGCCAGCACTGCAAAGGGCGCAGAAAGCAGGACATGTGTTGCTAGCCGACAAGGTTACAGTAGTTACCTGTGTGGTGAGTCCTGGGGTTGTTAACCGGTTAAACAATTAAAATGATCCCAGTTCACCATTCACCAAGGTGGTGTCCCTCTTGCCGGCTGGCACAGCCAGCCACTGGAGTGAACGGGTAAGGTCTGGTTAGCGGTAAGTCTAATGCTAACTGGTTAGCCTCTTAGCTCCCTAATGAATCCACAGGCGCAGGACAGAACTGACCATGCACCGGAGGGGGGTCTGCCGCAATCCGCCTTTTTCTTTCTTTTAACGCATACCCTGACCACGTGTTTTTACCTTTGGCCCACGTAGGTCAGCTGGAGAATGGCGTCTGAAAACCAGCCCCTCGCGAAGCCGGGGGAAGCGCAGCGGACGGGCCTCGACCATTTCAGCAGCAGTGCTGTGAGGAAACCCTTCCTTCACGCCACACCGAATGACTGTGTCCCTCCGTGCCGCCAGGGCTGCTCCAGAGGGGGCCTGGAAAGCCGAGGGGAAAGAGCTGTCCCCTTCCGCAGTCTGGCGTTGGAGGGGGGCTGGGAGGACAGAGCTGTGCTTCGGAACAAGGAGAAGTTTGCCTTTCCTCAGAGGGGACTCTGCCAGCCGCCATCAGCCTTGGCTGACAGCAGCCCTGCTTCCACCCCGGACTCTACCGGCTGGCCACGCCTTGGGCAAGGAGAAGGCACGACGCTGTCGTCGGTGAGCAGCGACGGCCGCAGCTCTCCCGGCACAGAGAGCGAAAGTGGGGATTACTGTTCAATTGCACGCTGTAGCATGGAGAGTCCTGCCCCCTCTCCACAGGGCCGGGTGGCCTGGAGCGACGGCGGGAAGCCAGCCCCGCGGTTCTGGGGGTGGCAGGACGCTGCGGCGAGTCCTCAGGCAAAGGCGAGGGCCGTCCAGCGGTGCGAAGAGGAAGGCAAGCGGTTGGACGTAGACTCTGGTTTTCAAAGGGAACGTTGTTTACGGGACTCTCCTCAAAAGAACGCCCGTCCCCAGCGAAACCCGTTAGCGCTTCTCCCTGGCGCCGCCGCCCTTTCCGACGGCGTGTTGAGCCGCAGTGGGAGCAGCAGCCCGCTCGCTTTGCCTCAGGAGAACGACTACTGTGCTCTTCTTGAGCCATCGCCTCTCCCCAGAGGCAGCCCCGTGGAAAACGCGAGCGACGTGCCGAGCCCGGCCCCTGCCTCACGACCTGCCCAGCATGCGCAGCCTGCCCCCGGCGAACCCATCTATGCCGAGAGCACCAAGAGGAAAAAGGTGCAGCCCAATAGTTCCGGTGCGCCGAGCAAGAGAGAGGGCCCGGCACGCAGTCCTCTCAGGGAGCAGGCCTGGAGCCTGTGGAGAGAAGGGCCGCAGGGCCCGAGCAACGGGAGGGAGTACCAGGACCCAGCCACGCAGGTAGCAGCGAAGATTACCATTATGGCAGCGCACACAGAGGAGGATAACCGGACGATATTTCTGAGCAGCCCAGACTCCGCCGTCGGGGTCCAGTGGCCCTGCGCTAGCCCCACCTCTCATCCAGACTTTGCGATGCCTTCGCCTTCCTTCGGGCACCGAGAGGGCTCCCAAGCCGGCAGAGAGATGGGTTCGGGGGAAAGCAGCCCCTGGTTTCACCAGCCAACGCAGACCCAGGGCATCGCCAATGAGAGTCCCACTGTTCCCCCAAAGTTGCCCACCAGCAGCCCGTCCGGCAGCGAGGGGGTGCAGGTGCCTTCCGTCAGCTGTCCTGGGACAGAAATCTGGGGCGGTAACCACCCCAGTGATGCCAGCACCCAGTTCTCCTCCCAGAACTGCCCCGAACCTGGTCCCTCTGGAGCACCGCCTTCTCTCTGCTCTCCTGCGGAGGAGCCCAGCAGGGGCGCGCCCGGCCCGGCCTATGAGAGGAGGCAGAAATACTCGGGTACTGCGTGGAGCAGGCAGTGCCGGATAGAGGAGGAAGAGGAGGAGGGTCCGGGCTTTTTAACTGGCATGCAGGCAAGGGAGGCAGAGAACGGAGCAGCTTGTCTCCAGCACGTGGAAGGCTGCTCTGGGCAGGGAAAAAAGCCCGGGATGAGCAAATCAGCCTCTTTTGCTTTTGATTTCCCTAAAGACAGGAGTGAAACTGAGGAATTTGCACCTCCTCCTCCCCCGCCAAAGAAACAGCCCAGGTATAGACGGGTGTGTGTGAGTATGCATGTGCTACCGTAGGTACTGCTGAGAGTCACTAATTGTACGTTCTAAACCAGTGGTTCTCAACCTTTTTTTATAAAGTACCCCTTTAAAAAAAAATTATAAGTACCCCCCAGTACCTACAGTTTTCAGACACACAAAATTTTTTTTCTACCATTGCAACACATTTGTTTAAACAACTTAACCGTAGCCGGGCGGGCAATGACATTTTTGGGTGTAAAAAGCACAAAAATAATAAAGCGCTGTAAAAAATAAAACACAGATTCAGTTTTCTCCAAATTTCAGTTGTGTTGACATACCCCCCCTGACTTCTCTCGAGTACCCCGAGGGTCCTCGTACCGCTGGTTGAGAACCACTGGTCTAAACACTCCCGCAGAGAGGGCTGCTGCAGTGGTTTTCCTCCTTTTGTCCTTATTTAAAATCTAACCAGCCTGATAAAACCTGACTTTCAAGGACATAGGGAATTCCTGTGTAGCTGTGTAATGGCTTTCTCCGTAGGGCAGTTGGTAGATGACCTTGCGCAAATGCTGTGATCTGGTATGGCAGTGGTTCAGGGCTGCGATGGAGAAATAACCCATTTTGTTTCCCCTTTGATCATTGTATTCATACGCCAAGCATCTAACGATCCGGGAGATTCAGCCTTTCCCACCTCTGGCATGGGCAGCGAAGCCCCCTCATGCGCAGGTAAACTCAGGTACATGCTAGGATCTTACACCACGATCCTCAGAGTGTTTATCTGTCTCTGTGAGGAGGAAGCTGGTAGCACTGCCTCTCGATAAAATTGCCCAACAGGTTCCACAATTAGGACTTTATGGTCAGTTGCTTGTAACTTTGCCACACTTAAGCCTTTTGCGCCCATGTTTTCCACATTGGGCGTCTGCTTTTGGAAATGTTCCGCTAGAATGCTTTGGTTGTTCCCAAGAACGAAGTGACGGGGGAATAACTTGTTTTGTGTATGTTGTGTACTGCAATCAGGCTGGGAGGCACGAGCACTCCAGGCTGTGAAACAGGCACTAGGGATGTGAAAGTGTAACCGTGTGCACGGTTAACTGATGGTCCTGAGATCATTGGTTAATGTTCAAGGTAACACGCAGGATCCTGGGTAGTAGAGCCTACCCCTCCCCACTGCCTGTAACCACTGAAAATGTCAATGGTTACAAGGTTACTTAATAATACGCATGATAACATCCCTAACATTGCCATTTCGTGGTACAGCATGTGATCATGTACATAAGAATGGCCATGCTGGATCAGACCAATGGTCCATCCAGCCCAGTATCCCGTCTGCCAACAGTGGCCAATGCCAGGTGCCCCAGAGGGAGGGAACACAACCGGTAATCCTCACGTGATCCCTCCCCTGTCCCCCACCTCCAAAGAAACAAAGGCTAGGGACACCATTCCTACCCTTCCTGGCTAATAGCCATTGATGGACCTAACCTCCATGAATCTATCCAGCTCTTCTTTGAACCCTGTTCAAGTCCTAGTCTTCACCTCATCCTCTGGCAAGGAGTTCCACAGGTTGACTGTGCACTGTAACTAAAGACTGTCATGAGGTTGAGCACACAAGAAGGGAGAAATAAGATTACACATGCCACCTTAACTCTGGCATTTCCTACCTTTGGAGTGCTTGACTTTGCAACCCTAGTTTTCTTTTTAACATGTTTTGCATTGTGGGGAGAGGTATTATCCCTTTCTCTGTCTCTCTCTCTCTGCAGAATGAGTGAGAGCTGTTCCTCTGGGAAGGGCTTAGTCGCAAGGTGTTAACTAACACCAGGCTTCCACTGTGCTCTGGCCCTGGCTGCCCGCAGTGCCGCCCAGTGCCCGGCTGTGCCTCCTGCAGAGGCCGAGAGCGTCCTGGGTGGGGGCGTGTGGGGAGAGGGGGGGAGTGGCTGAGAATTGGGGGGCAAACAGGTGACAGACAAACCAACCGACAGAAAAGCCTCCCTGCCTGGCCCCCAGCTGAGCGGAGAAACGTCCCCCTGGCGCCAGAGCACTGCAGGGCCCAGCCTAGTCGCTTTGTGCGCTCCAGCCCCACGGCGTGGGGAGGGGGCGACGGTGGAGGAGCCCCACGCACCCAGGCCTTAGGTTCCCCACCCGCCTTCTAAGCACTGAGCATTTTAGGCCTGGCTGGACTAGAGAAGGGGGCACCAGGGGAGTTGCCGCTGAAGGCGCGCGGCCGCGCACAAACACCCCTCTGCCGCCCACCTCCCTTGCGGAGCCTTGCAGCGGCACTCGCCTTCCTGCTGGCCGGGGAATGGCGCGGTTGTTTTCCTGATCTGGTGGGGGGCGGCTGCCCCGTTGTGTCCCTGCTGGGGCAGCCTCGCCCCACCTCCAGCTGCGATTGGGGCTTCTGTTTGTTTCTGTTCATACAGTTTGCTGCAGTTTTCCATCCCGGAGGACCTGCGTGAAGGTGGTCCGACCAGAGATACGGGGATCGATTTTTAAGAGTAAGAGGTTTTGTTTTTAAAGCAGGGGTGAGGAACCTAATACCCCAGCTCACGTGAGTGTGGCCCTCGAGACTCAAGGTTCCCACACTAACGCTCTAGCTCCCCTCCAGATTGGTGATAGAAATGTAGCCGTGTTAGTCTGGGGTAGTTGAAGCAAAATGCAGGACAATGTAGCACTTTAAAGACTAACAAGATGGTTTATTAGATGATGAGCTTTCGTGGGCCAGACCCACTTCCTCAGATCAAATAGTGGAAGAAAGTAGTCACAACCATATATACCAAAGGATACAATTAAAAAAATGAACAAATATGAAAAGGACAAATCACATTGCAGAACAGAAGGGGGATGCGGGGGGGTGGGAAGGGGGAGGAAGGAAGGTAAGTGTCTGTGAATTGCTGATATTAAAGGTAGGGAGAGTGGGATGTTTGTGAGTTAATGGTATTACAGGTGATAATTGGGGAAACTGTCTTGGTAATGGGTGAGAAAGTTCAAAGACTTGTTAAGTCCTTGTTGGTAAGTGTCGAATTTTAACATGAATGACAGTTCAGAGGATTCCCTTTCAAGTGCAGATGTAAAAGGTCTTTGTAGCAGAATGCAGGTGGCTAAGTCATTTAGAGAGTGTCCTTTCTGGTTAAAGTGGCAAGAAACTGTTTTCTCTTTGTGATCTTGTCTGATATCTGTTTTGTGGGCATTAATCCTTTGGCGAAGGATTATAACTGACACTCTCAAAATGTGTGAAATTGGCAGCTGCGTGTCCCTCAGAGTTAAAACCTGAAATCCCGTCTAGTAAAGAGGGGTAGATCTTTCCCCTTCCAGAGCTGGGTTTGGATTCAGCCAGGTCAATACTGACTGAAGTACTCACACCTGATTGCTGTCTGGCAGCCTGGCAAATGCAGTTGGTGGTTTCTGTCCATCTTGGTGCCCGGGTGACCGCATCACCAGACCTGGGCATCTCCATGGAGTGCTAGCTGGCAAGCGCCTGGAGGGGCGCTCTCCGCTCAGGGCGCAGGTTTATGTATTGGCCGAGGAGAGCGGGAAGCTCGCAGACCTGTTTCCCGTGCCCCCCTGCGCTCGTTCTGGGGAGCAATCACATTGAAGAGTTGAGGCCGAGGGGCTGTCATTGGTTTCAGAGCAATTCTAAGCAATTCAGCCTGATGCCAAATCTCTCGCTGGGATGGCACAAGCCGAAAGCTCCGCCAGCTGGGCTCCCCGGGCCAGGTGAGAACTGCCACTGGTGAGGGTCGCTGCCACACCTGACACCTGGCTGGTGGACGGTCCCGCTTGCGCCACGTGGCTGAGTGCGAGGTGATCCAGGCGCGGTGTGACCGGCATCGGGGGAGGTGGCGGTGCGCCGAGAGCAAGCTGCGAGCCGGACGTGGGCTGGTTCCTTACGGCACAGACCGTCCCATGAATGTCAGTATAGGGCCGCCCAACAGGCAGGAGGGCAGCGGACTCTCTCCCCAAGGCTCGGAGAATCCCAGTTCTGCCTGCCCTGGGGCCGTTCCTTCCCCTCTTCTCATGGGGCAGCCCACTGCCCTGTGTGAGCCCAAAGAGCTATTCCAGGCACAGATGGGAGTAGGGGCAGGGCAGGTCTTCTCTGCCCCTCCCCTCCCATTACATAGCACAGGCTGAGGCCCACACAGAGGGGCATTTTCCCCTGTATCTTGCATTGAGCTGGGCTTGGGGAGCGTATTCCCGTAGCTCAGGCCTAGGAAGCAGAGAAGGAGTGGGGAGGGGGGTGTCTGTTGCTACTGGAGAGGACCAGTCTGAGTCGCACATCAGCCTGCTGGAATTCCTATAGGCATGGCTCACAGGCGAGAGAAACAGGAGTCCCTAGCAGGGCTTCATGTCCTGGGGCACCCTCCGTCCTCCTGTCGCGCTCCCTCCATTGTGGCCTTCCTGACCATTTGCAATGGCGGGCGGCTCCCTCCTGTGCCTAGAGAGGCAGGAGCAGAAGTGTGGGACCGCTGGCCTGGTCTTTCCATCAAGAGAGGCTGGGGTGGGGCAGGAGGACCCCTCGCTTGCTGGGATAGTTGTGTGGCTGGGCGAGCCAGGCCTGCTGCTTTCTTCCCCTCCTGCTGTTCAGGGCTTGCAGTTAATACCCGCTGGAGGCCTGGGCCTCCCTGGTCTCAGAAGTACTATTGTCTCAGGCTCTCTGCACAGTCAGGCAAAGGTCACTGCAGCTGTTCCTCTTGAGTCTCCTCCTAAGCTTTTCTTCACGTCCGTGAGGGCCAGAAAGTACTTAAAAGGCTGCAGTTCTGACATCATTACTGCCTCGTTCCCATGGCCAAGATCCTAGGCATGCCTTAACTCAGCCCTCGTTACAGGGGTGGTTGCTGGTTCTATCTACTTGTATCTGGTTGGCAGTGGGCGTTACGTTTCACTTGCAAATGCCTTGATCCAAGCTGCCATGGCTCCCTGCTTATCCCCCAAAGACCACAGACTTGCTCAGCTGTCAGACTGCACCTTCCTCCCTCCCCGTGTTCCTGTGATGGGAGGGGGTGGAGCCTGGTCAGAAGGGGCGGGGCGG